TGATTGTTTTTTGTGGGTTATTATTATTAATGATTGGAGCTTCAACTCACCAAGGCAAATTACGGACAAATGTTAAACAAGGCAAATTTAATTCTATTAGCCTCAAGTGACAGACTTACTATTTATTTGAGAGTCGTAACAGATTTTCTGGAAGAAATATTTTATTGTTTGTGTATTGTTTTAGGACAATTTGTAGAGATTTTAAATGATTCCACTAATTTAGCTAAATGGAAAGATGATATTCTTTGAAAGAATTACTAAATGACTTCAAGTAGCTTTAAGAATGATGAAATTAAACAGGAGTTCTGGGAAATGATTGAACGAATTATTTTGTAGAATAAAAGAAAAAAATATAAATATGAGTTATATATACATATGATATATAAGTTCACCTGAGCTAATAAATACTTTAAGTAGGCATTCTACCATTTCCTATGTACTTCAGTGATATATTAAAATTGGTTATGATGGGCAGTTTGTTTAATATTCAGGGAAATTTTATACTTAATCACTTGTAATATCCATTGCATTCTGTCTTATCCAAAGCCCTTTTCTAGATGTTGGAGATAACTATTTGATTGCATGAGCCTCCTTTCATCATGAACTTGAACTTTAGATAGTCAAAAAGTAAATGAACAAAATAAAAATAAAAATAAAATGTGCTGGCAATTGAAAAATGAGTCATGGCAGACCTCAGGAGAATATGTCCATTTGCACTGACTTCAAGTAAAAGAAATTTAAAAATGTCATCTTCAAGAAAGTAGATAGGAAAATATAATGAATGAATAATATGTTAAGTGAAATAAGCCAGACTCAGACAGATAAGTATTGAATGTTTTCCTTAAATTTGTAATCTAAAACATATGACTTGAAAGTAGAAGAGAGACAACTAATAGATAAAAGAAAGAGAAAATGTAGGGGTTACTATACAAAGTATTAAGGATGATGGATATGATCATGATATATGTAGGAAAATACCACATACAAACTCAATATTTTGTGAATACAAAGGTATTAATAAAAATATATTTTAAATATTAAATAAAATGCTATTTTTCAGAAATGTGTTAAAAGATAATTGGTGGATAGGTTCTGAAATTAGATATTGATGATGTTCTGTATTTTTGCTGAGTCCATTGTAATTTCACCCTTTTCATTTTTTTTCAATTAAGTTTATTGGTACTTTCTAGGTATATAGTACAGTTACATTCAACACTGGGATCTTGTAACTTTACATGATGTATCTTGGTTCTTCTTTTATCCCCATTCCCCTGCCCTCCCTTCACCCCATACGCCCTTCCCAAATTAGAAGGACTTTCTTTCCATGTTATCCTTTTCTTGTATTTTTTTCTTCTTCCCTTCTTTCCTTTCCCCTAACCCTCCTAATTCCCCTACTCCTTTATCCCTTTTCTTCCTATTTCATATTATCAATTATACAATTGGAATCTTATTTATACTTTTAGTTTTTTCAGTATTTACATGTGTGTCCTATTTATTTCACTTAAAAGTATGGCCTCATTGTGCACGCATTTAGTATAAATGTGTCTAGTTTCTCATTCTTTGTGACTGAGTAGTATTCCATTTTATAGAAAAACCACATCTTCTTTATCCAGTCTCTAGTTGATGGGCAACAGGGCTCTTTCCAAGTTGTAGTTATTACAAACTGTGCCACTATAAACATGGGTGCATATATATCACTGTGGCATGATTCTTTTAATTCTTTTGGAAAGATACCCAGCAGAGGGACAGCTGGGTCAAACGGGACCTCTGATCCTAGTTTTTTGAAGTATCTCTATATTGATTTTTACAGTGGTTGCACTAGTCTGCACTCCCACCAGCAATGGAGAAGGGGTCCTTTCTCCTCACAACCTTGCCAGCATTTGTTATTGGTTGATTTCTTGACAGCAGCTCTTCTTTCTGGGGTGAGGTGGAATCTCATTGTTGTTTTCATCTACATCTCTTGAATTATGCATGATGTTGAAATTTTTTCTTATATTTATTTGATGCTTTTACTTCTTTGTCTGAGACATTTCTGTTCATTTCAGATTCCCATGTTTGAATTGGGTGTTTATATTTGGTGGGGGTCTTATTTTTTTTTAGCTCTTCATATATTCTAGATAATAGACCTTTATCTGAGGAACAGCTGGTAAAATTTCTTTCTCATATTGTAGTTTCTCTTTAGCTCTGTTGGTGGTTTCTCTTGAAGTGCAGATGATTTTTAATAAGTTGAGATCCTAGTTGTTGATTCTTTGTGCTAGTTCCTCTGCTACTGAAGATTAGCTCATAAAGGCTTTTCCTATGTCAATGTCTTTGAGAGTGCTACCTAACTTATCTAATAGCAAGTTTACTGTTTCTGTTTTAATATTTAGATCTTTGATCCTCTTTGATTTTAATTTAGTGCATGATAAAATGTAGGGGTCTAGTTTTAATCTTTGGCAGGTTGAAATGCAGTTTTTCCAATACATTTTATTAAACAGGCTATCTTTCCTCCACCTAGGATGGTTGGTCCCTTTGTCAAAGATGAGATAGCTGAGTACATCTGCAGTTGTTCCTGTATCTTCCAAACTCAAAGTGGCTTTGCAGTATAGTTTCAAATCGGCGATTATGATACCCCCTGTCATGTCTTGGTTGCCCATAATAGCTTTTGCTATTCTAGGACTCTTCTGGTTCCAAATGAATTTTTGGATTGTTTTCTCTAGTTATTTGAAATGTACTTTTGGGATTTCAATCAGAACTACACTGAATCTGTATAGCAATTTTGGAAATATGGCCATTTTCACTGTACTGATTCTTCCTACCTAGGAGCACAGGATGTCTTTCCACTTCCTTATGTCCTCTCATAGCCTCTAATAACTCTGAGGTGATCTCTTTTTCATTATACCAGGAAGGTCAACTGATTAGATCAATCACAACACCTTAGCCCATGTGATACAATCAGCAACACAATAGCCTCAAGCACAGATTAGAAAATGACAATTTGTGGTAGTTATTAATGACCACCTTTAGCCATGTGAATTAAATCAAAATCAAGGACCAGCCCAAAATATGTTTATAGTGAATAAACCCTTTCACATAGCAACTTTACCCTTCAGGATGGGGACTTAGAAAGTGTTTGGAAGAGAGGGATAGGTAGAAGGACAGAGAACGGTTAGAACTGAGGACAGAGAACACAAGAAGATCATGCAAACTCTAGGAAACTGAGACAAGAGTGAAAGACAAGAGGAAAAGACAAAATGAAAGAACAAAGATGATAAGAATAGAACAACATAAAAGAAATAGGGAAGCTAGAAAATGTATTCACATTCCTTTGAAACTAATGACAATCAAGAGAAGGAAAAAAAAAGAGAAGAAAAGAAAAAGAAAGGAGAAATCTGAATTAGTGCAGGAATAGGAACTAAAAGGGAGATGAAGAACATTTTGGGAGAGCGAGAGAATGAGGGAGAGATAGAAAAGAGAATAATGAAAAGAAGAGGAACTTGAGACAAGTAGAAAAAAATTAAAATTAAAGGGAAATAAAAAAATTTAAAATAAAAAATAAAAATGAAGGGCCTCCTTCAGGGTATGTCTCTGCTGCCACAATGGACAACATGGGCAGCAATGTGCAGATCTCAGCAAGCCAATTAGTCTCAGCAAGCTAGCATCAGACAGCTGAGTTCTAGGTTGATTTCTGGCTGCAAGGCTCAGGTTCAGCTCCCTGATGTCCTGCAGGGTTGAACTCTACAAAGTTCTACTCTACTCCTCACTGGTCTATGCTGCTTGGGTGCCTGGGGTGGTGGGGGTGGATTAGTAGCCAAGTTCCACACAGTTCCACTCATTCTCACTGGCCCACACTGCTATCCTTTTCATTCATTTTTTTCCAACATGTATTTTATTCAGAAATTTCACAAATGCTTTTCCTTTTAATCAGATGTTTTTGCAATACCCTAATGCTTATTTAGGAACCTGAAGGCTGGCTCATATGAGAATTTTGAATTAGTAGATTGTCACTCTTAGAAGGGTATTCAGAACTGTTTTGTGTTGTGAACTCTGAGGCTACAGGAAAGTAGGAGTGGGCTCCGGAAAGCCAGGTCATTAACATACACACCATTGGTTTATGTCTCTCCTCTAATTCATAATACAGTACTACAGGCCATGTATTATGCAAAATTTTGTCTATATCTTTCAGGTGTTGACCAGATTCTCAGATTACCTTCTCTCTTCTATTGATGATCGAGACTTCAGTTTGCAGGACTGACTGATAAACCCAGCATCTTCTATAAGCTTTTGCTTCCACACCTTTTATTAATTTAATTGTATGTTATAAATTTAATCACTTTCAAAAGTGACCTAAAGTCAACTCTGGATGTGATATAATTGTCTCTGATATATTCTTTACAATTCTTTGTTGTTCCTGTCTCTGAAGAAGAATCTGACACACCAAGAAATTTTCTCCAGGAAGTTTCATTCAGAAGTTGATTGAAGTTTTCCGAGCACTTTTTTTGGAGGGGGCGGTATTTAATGTGACATTGTGTTCATTTTCTTTTCTTTCCAACACAGATCCAGATTTACCAGTGTAATGCAAATGGGTTTTTCTGCCCCAGAATGCTGGGATTATAGGTGTGTTCCACTGAGCAATTTCTCCACATTGTGAAAAACATTTATTTCCTTTTTAATTATAGCCATTGTAGTGAAAGTGAAGTGCTTTCTCATTATGGCTTTAAGATGAATATTCATGATGATTTGTGTTGAGCATCTTTTCATGTGCAAACTGTCTGTTAATATTTTGTGCTTCTTATGAAAACTGGTGACACATCCAGAAACATTTTCAGAACTCAGGTTTATTTCTCAGTTCTAAGAGAGTTGTTTCACAGTGCTTTTTCCTTGCTCTCTATGACATATACTATGCTCTGTCTTCTGATATTGTGTCTGAGCATTGTACATACAAATAGTTTGACTTGGCTTTAATCCTAAACTCAACAAAACACATGAAGATTTGGAAATCCTTCAGCATAATGCTAGAGTTAAAATGTTGCTAATGGCAGTGTTTTTTCTAACTCCTTTAGCTGAATATTGCTTTGAGTAATCATCATCCAGATTGTATCCTCTTCTATGGTACTTTTATTTCTTTTGAATTCTTCCCTTGCCCAGTTTCTTGGGTATTGGCAATCAGATGCATTTGGAACTTGCCAGATTGCTTCCAAAATTCCTCTGTAGAGGAGAACTTGCCTTCTCAGGAACTGCTTTAGAGTTTGCATCCCCAGAGGTAAGCATGAGGTGGCCATGTCAGTGAAACAGGGCATCTGGCTTGAGAGTACAGGAGCAGAAGTCCATCTTTTCTTCTTAATAGCATGGATTTTGGCCTTTTCTTTCCTTTTTTTGATGAGGGTGGCTAAGGGTTTGTCAATTTTGTTTATTCTTTTGACTAACCAATCCTTTGCTCTAGTGAATTTTTGGATTGTTCTCTTTATCTCCAATGCATTGATTTCTGCTTTCATCTTTATAATTTCCTCCCTTGTATGAGGTTTGTTTTCCCCCTTGAAGTTTATTGGCACATTGAAAGCAAACAATACAGTTACATTTATCATTGGGATCTTGTACTTCCTTGTATGAGTTTTGGATTTGTCCTGCTCTTCTATATCTAGAATCTTGAGGTTTCATATCAGGTTATTTATTTGAGCTGGCTCTATTTTCTTAATATGAGTATTCACTGCTGTGAATTTTCCTTGTAAGACTGTTTTCATTGTGTCCCATAGATGCTGATATGTTGTGCTCCCATTGTCATTTAATTGCAGAAACTCTGATTTCTTCTTTAATTTCCTCTGTGACCCATTGGTTGTTCAGCAGTGTGTTGTTTGATTTCCATGTGTTTATAAAATTCTTATGGTTTCTTTTGCTATTGATATCCAATTTCATTGCAGTATAATCAGATAACATGCAGAGGATAACTTCAATTTCTTTGCATTTACTTAAATATGTTCTGTGAGCTAGTATGTGGTCCATATTGGAGAATTACCCATGTGCAGCTGAAAAGAATGTGTCCTGATTTTGTGAGGCAGAACACTCTGTAAACATCTGATAAGTCCACTTGTTCAAGAGTTTGATTGAGTTCTAGTATTTCATAGATCTCCTGCCACATCTTGCTTGCCATTATATTAAAATGGTTTTCCAGGACATATGTGTATTTTTCATAATCAGAATATGTAAATATATTATATTCCAATGCCAAAAAAATCACTTTATTGTCATATGCCAAATATTCAAAATAAGTAGTGTCTTAAAAATACTAGCCTGATAACTTACTTGTATAGACCTAACCAAGAAGCTTCCTCTAACTGAGCCTAAGGTTTTCAGGGATATTAAAGGGGCAAAGTGAATAAAATTGTAAAGTCCACCAAGAAGGTTCTTTTGGTAATTAAATGAACACTATACACTTAGCTTGGAATGTGTTGGAATTAGCTTGGAATGTGTTGCAAAATAGGATTTGTTGAGTTAGATGGAAATTAAATTTTAATAATTACAAGGTACAAACATTCTACTGGAGTATATATTTGTACAAAACTATAAGGTTTAAGTTACTCAGAAAAGGTTACAAGTAAATTTTTCACTGGAGCATAACAATCGCCAAGTTCAAACTCAGCATTCCTGTACCACCTCTTCCCGTCAGAGTCCTCAGCCATGTGGATCTGAAGCATGAACCCCAGCGTCTGCCTTAGTATCAGTGGAATTGTGTGATCTCATCTCTGAAAAGAGAATTAAAGGAAGCTCTGCTACAATTAGACCCTTAATACAAGGAACATATTAAATGTCCCTAATTTCTTAGCTAGGAATGAACTACAGAAATTCTATTTTGTAGTAAATATCTTTTAGATCCAGTTCAAAAATGATTTTCTAACTTGGATGCACATAAGAATCATCCAAAGAGGGCCAGGAATTTAGCTCAGTGTTTCTGCTGCCTGCTTCACAAGGTCAAGGTCCCAAGTTGGATTCCTGGTACCAAAAAAAAAAAGAATCATCCAAAGAGATATTTAAAACCCAGATTTCCTGTACTAAAAATCTATATGTTAAAAAGTACCACAGAGGTCAGGGATTTATCTCAGTGGTTCTGGCATCTGCCTCACAAGCTCAAGGACCCAAGTCTGATCCCTGGCACACACACACACACACACACACAAAGTACCACAGGCAACTGGGATGTCTCCATGAAAAAAATATTCATCTCACTCAAGGAGGTCTGACCATACAGGTTTTTTTTGTTTTTGTTTTTTGTTTTCTTTTCCTCTCTCTCTCTCTTTTTTTTTTTTTTTTTCGTGGTACTGGGGATTGAACTTGGGACCTTGCACTTTCAAGGCAGGCATAGTGCCACTGAGCCAAATCCCCAGCCCCTGTGCAGTTATTCTTAATTAATGAAATTCAATAAGAACTAAATTTATTTCTATATAGATTATTACAGAGCTCTTACATTAAAGTTATCTGAAGCTGGCCTATAAGAAATATTTCTTTAATCTGTTCTTATTAAAGTTGATTGTAAGCTGATTGGCAAACAAGGCCTTATTCTCTGTATTCCAGAGCTACTGCAAGGACTGAGAGGCAGGCAGACATCTGTCCAGAGCTCTCTCTCCACTTGCAGCTGCTCTGAATTGATGTTCAGGGAGCATCATATCTGGAAGCTTTTGTGTGTCTGGCTGTCATCTCACAGCTGTCACCAACCAACAGGGAGAAACTCAGCCTTCTAGAAGTAAAGTCAGCCACAGACCTCTGCAGGTCAGACAACAGGAAACCTGCCCTTCCTGCCCTTTACTCAGCTGCCACTTCCAGTCAGAAATCACATCAATGTCAAGACTAAGGTGCACGTAGAAAAAAAACTAAACATACCTGTTCCCCAGCACCACAGATCCACGCACAGTTCTCAGCTGCTTCTTACTCACTGCTTGATCTCCTTCACTTGTCTGCTCCTCCTTCAAAATAAAAATAGTAAGGAAGATAGCCCTTCTACAAACAGACTTCTACACTAACACTGAAATGCAAAGTAAAGAAATTCACTTTATATTTTAATACAGGAAAATGTGTTCACCCCTTGTTACAAAAAAAAAAACTGATAAGCACACTGAAGAAATAAAATAGTGAAGAAAGGTTTATTACTCACTGTGATTAAGGAGAGGACTGAGAATATTTTGTATAAGTTGTTATCATATGCAGAGTCAGGCACAGTTCTGAACATACTCAGTGAAAAAGATCACCCTGTTTCATATATCACATGGTTAGAGAAGATAGATGATGGTAAATTCATGATGGTATATAATGAGTAAGGGTTTCTCTAGGCTCCCTAGAAGAGAGGTAGGGCAATTTTGACCAGTTGAAATATTTACTCCCTTGGGGTTTTCTATGGAGGCTTCATCTGAAACAAGAAAACTTGAAGAGGTAGCATCTTCTTTTCAGGAGACCACATATCCTTTCTTCTAAAGATTACCGCTTACCAGCTACCATTTTCAAATGTCAGCAGAGACATGTGAGATTTGGGTCTACAGCTTGAGTGTGGATGTTTGGGGTAGAGATGAGAGGAGGTCAGAAAGGCCACAGTTATTCCAGAGTCACCTCATTAAGCACATTCAAACTCCTTCTCTTCCGTCCTCATCTTGGAAGGCTTCCCCAGCTTTCCTTTTTGACATATCTCATTGACTTCTTTGCACAAGGAAAAACAGAAATTATGTGGTACAAATACAACCAAAATTATTTATATCAATAATATTTTAAGCATTTTTTTCTTAGTAGAAAGTCCTGGACATTTTTCTAAGGAAGGATATTTAATGTTTTTTTCTTAACACATACAATACTATAGGTATATATCAACACAGTTGATCTATAATACAATATTTAGAAAGTGATAAGAAGTAAAGATTAAAAATGAATAACCCTTCACTACATTATTCAGAGGTATTCACTGCTGTTATTTTGTTCAAAACTCTTGTTTCACTAATATGCAGATCACCTTCTAATATCAGTAGCTACTTCGTACAGAAATGAAGTCATTTGGCTCAGTTTCAAAGCCATACTTTTGGTCAGTAAGAAAGTAAGCACAAAACTTTATAGAGTAAAGGGAAGAATAAAGTAAATGGTAGGATAATGGTAGTTGAGGTAAGAAATGCCTGGGAAGGCCAGGCATTAGAGGCCAGGTAGAGGCACCTCCCTTTCCTTCTCACCACCACCTTTCTCTGTGGAAACATTTTTCATAAGAGAATAAACAGTAGTATTTTAGACCTTACAGTCTGCATTGCAACTACTCATCCACAATATCCACAGACAACACACAAATGAGTGGGTTCCTATAAAGGTGCTATAAATATAGACAGTGGGCAGGTCTGAGGTATCCACCATAGATTGCTGACCCTGGGTTTAGTGTGTGTATGCACAACATGCAGAAGTTTACCACCACTCCAGGAATCATTGTCTTACAGTTTATTGGATTGGTACCAGAATGTACATATGAGTGCCTATTTCTAAAATCATTTGTGTCAAACATGTAAAACATCTCATCAATTTTTAGCACAGTTATCAACAAAGAAGGCTTTCTCCACCCATGTGATTTTCATTCACGTGAGTTTTTATCAAGGTGCCTGGGCGGTACATACACATATCTTCATAACCAAGTGTCCAACTCTCACAACACACTCATAAGCAAAAGATAAATGGTTGATGATGGAACATAGTCAGATGTAATGTAGAAAAGTATGCTTAGTTCGAGGAAAAACTGTTCAGGTCTCCCAGACCCTGTGAATGAACTAGGAAGCCCACCATTTTGGCAAATGACATGGTGACTCCAGATAGAATGAATCAGATGAGCCCAGGTGAAGTATATGAAGACTTGGTAGTGGCATTTCTGTCTACTCTAATCACAGATGAAGAAACAACACACTTGCTATTCGTGCTCCACAATTCCCTACTTTAGTAGGCAAAGCTTGTAAGCACTGCCATCATGTGGTTACTCAAAATCACAATGTATTCAGTGATATGGGAATGATTGTATTTTCCTCTGGAAGCTGATTTTTTATGTCAGAATTGAATCATAATCAACTTTGAAATTATTCAATGTAAACTTAAGATATAGATTATAGTAAAATGTAAATCTACATATGTAAAACTAACATCCATACAAAACCATAATATTGAACTTATATATTTCTTATATACACATTGGTTTTAATGGAAATTTATTAAAGGCTAACTGACATGCGGAGAGAAGTGGTAGGGTCTGAAGCTCCTAAGGGTCCTATTTGGGTCCTCCCTC